AGAGGAAGTTCCTGGCTCTTAGCTTTCATCAGCTCAGCTCTGGCCATTGTGGCCATCTAGAGAGTGAAGCAGAAGATCAAACACATTCTCTGTCTCCGTCTCTCTCCTTAAAATCTGCCTTTCAAAAATATATATATATATATATGTATGTATATATATATATCTCTCCCCATTGGGACCAGTGCTACCAGCATCCCACATGGAGACCAGTTCAAGTCCCAACCCGGCAGCACCACTTCCCATTCAGCTCCATGCTAGAGGCCTGGGAAAGCTGTAGAGGATGGTCCAAGTCCTTGGGCCCCTGCACCCATGTGAGAGCAGAACAATCTCTAAGCCCCTGGCTTCGGACCACCCCAGCTCTGGCCAGTGTGGTGCTTTGAAGAACCAGTAGATAGAGGAACTGTCTCTCCCACTCTCTCCCTAACTCTGCCTTTCAAATAAAAATAAAATAAACTCTTAAAGGAAAAATTGGTCCCACAGACAGGTGCCCCCTTGTGTCTGCTCATCACTGTTCCAAGCGCAAATCCAATCTCCAGCAGTCTTCTGTTAGGCCAATGCCATTAGGACAGAGCTGGCTAAGCCACCGACTTAGGAACACTCACATCCCAGACAGGATGCCTAGAATCTAGTCTGGTTTATTAAATTCCTGCTACTGCTCACCTCAGGAGGCAGTAGGGGATGGCTCAAGCACTTGGGTCCTTGTCACCCACACAGGAGACCCAGCTGGAAGCAGTGGCTCCTTGGTTTGGCCTGCTCAGCTCTTGAGATTTTATGAGCAAAGCCATAGACGAAAGGTCACTTGCACTTTCTGTCTCTCCCCCTCAACTAATGCTCTAGCAGTTGTTGTTCAGTTTTTAAAGCAGAGACACACACTGTTCCAGGTAGACAGACAATACTCAACATCAGGCACCAGGCCAACTTCCTGATGTACAACCACTCAGCAGAGGCTCTTGCAGGTGCCTCAAACGCCACACGCTGATAGACTAACACGCAACATGCAATGCAGCCGCATCCTGCAGAGGCCCTACCATGCAAGAGGGGCTGGACAGCTTTGGCACGCATTCCTTAAGCGTAACAGAGAAGGCCCAGCGCGGTGGCCCAGCGGCTAAAGTTATCGCCTTGAACACGCCACGATCCCATATGGGCGCGGGTTCTAATCCCATCCAGCTCCCTGCTTGTGGCTTGGGAAAAGCAGTGGAGGATGGCCCAAAGCCTTGGGACCCTCCACCCATGCGGGAGGCCTGGAGAAAAGTTCCTGGCTCCTGGCTTCGTATTGGTACAGCACCAGCCACTGCAGTCACTTGGGGAGTCAATCACTGGACAGAAGATCTTCCTCTCTGTCTTTCCTTCTCTCTGTTATCTGACTTTGCAATACAAATAAACAAATCTTTCAAAAAAAAAAAAAAACAGCGTAACACAGCACACTCCTGCCCTCTTGGGGGTCTGTCAGGGGAAAATGAGCTGCTGGCAGGAGAAAAAGGTTGGACCCTGCACTGTCCTTCAAGGCCTGGGATGGCAGACCCAAAAAGATCAAGAGACCATGGTGAAGTGCAAACACACTCACAGTAAAGCCGCGGGGGTCACACTGTTGGACAAAAGTTACAGGGAAACCCAGCAGCAGGGCCTGCGCTGACACTGGGTTACTTCCTCCCCAAGTGCTTTTCTCGTAACACACCAACAATGCCACCGCAGAGGGTCGTGAATGTCACATCTTTTGTTTTTCAAGTACGCTGTCACTGGAAAATCCTACAAGAGCCTCACTCACTAGGGAAAATGTCATCCAAAAGAACTAGAGTCCAGAGAAGAAATGAAGCAAAGAAAAACCTCTCCTGCATTTCTCCTCTCCCACCCACCCCTGGCCAAGCATTGTTAGCGTTCTCTGGCTGCCGGCTCTCCACACACTCTGCTTCCTTCCTTCCTCTGCATCCTGGGGCTGTCAGTGTTTACAGCCTAAGAATCCCCAAGGCAGAACCTCCCAACCTGTGCACCTGAACACGCCCCTGCCCTTCTTACACATGTCCACTGGCAAGAGAGTCCCCCCTTCCCTTCAGCCAGCCAGCTCCCTTTGCCAGCGCGCTGCTTATCTGGGTGACTGGACCATTTATTTCCCTGACCTCAGACACCACAAGTCTCCCTCCTAAACACAGCGTGTGTGCTCCCAATCAAACCATCCCCGTCCTATCAGAGCTCTCCAAGGCTTTGTGCTCCCACACTTTTGCCCCCCAAACATTTGGGAAGGTATTTATGCACTTAAAATATAGGCACAGTTGCAAGTGAAATCACATATGCTTCAATACCAATATAGCTTACAATATTATTCATCGCAATAAAATGCTAAGCCTTGAAGCGATGAGATTCAAAAATACTCACAATAGTAGGCCTAAATGTGTCTTATGTACCCCAGTGAATAATCTGATACCTTATCCGGTGGGGGGGGGGTGCTTTGGGACTATGTGGAATTACAGCTCTCCTACAATATGGATTTGTGTGCGCACACCTTCTGTGTGTCTGAAGCAGCTTCTCTTTTTCACACTTATTCACCTCATGATGAGGTCATGTGCACTCGCTGAAGTAACTTCTAGTATAATTAACCTTACCTTCTAAAATCCACAAACCAAAAATAAAGTTTAAAGCTGACCTCTAAAAAGTCACATGGCGTTATTTTATAAATAAAACCTCAGTTGGTTAAAGTCTTATAAATAGCCATTTCCAAAGCAATGAAAAATACAAAACATCGTTGGGCTCTTTTCGCACACACTTTTTCCAGAAAAGCACCTTTTCCCACCCATCTGCCAAACCATTGTTAAGCGGCAAAGGTTCTGAATGTATATATTTAGTTCGTTAGTTATCTTGAAGCATTCCACAGCAACGTATGAACTCAGGGGCCCTGGATCCCATGAACTATATGCTCTTCCATACTCATCCTCCCTAGCACAGAGCCCTCAGAACACACTGCTGGCGGGACACAGGCCCCTCCAGGAGCTTAGCCAAGGCGTACCCAAATTCTCTCAGCCAAACACAGATCTAAACCAACTCGAAAGCTGTCCCTGCAGCGCTGATGAGCTCAGAGTAAACCAGCCAACTGAGGTGAACGCAGAAACATTTTCTCCAATCCCTCCGGCAAGGCACCACTCACTCAGCAAGATGCCAAATCAGCAAATCACAAATGGCAGGAATTCTTATGAAAACTCCCACAATAGTAAACAAGCCGATTCATTTTCATGAGCATCTCTCCTGCGTCTCCTGCAAGTGGGAATTCAGCAACACCAAGATGGGACTACCAGCTCCATTCAGTGACGGCAGCTGAGCCGATCTAAACCGCACTCCCTACAAAACCAGAGCAAAGTGGTCTGAATGCTAAAACTGCTCCAGCTAATGACTGTGCATGCACAGAATGTTGAGATTAAAAAAAAAAAAAAAAAACCCTTAAAATGGAATTTCACATTCCTAAAAGAAAAAACCCAACATCAGGACTACTTAAAATTGCAGGTCTATGCAATCAGAGTTGAAGTTCGGGTGGGAGTTCATTAGCCTTCTGTTTACATGGCAAGGCTTTGACCACATTCCCTGTTTTAAACCAGCGCTGTATTAACACTTCCCGCTCTATACCCAGTTCTCTGCCAAGCAAAATCGCTTTACCCCCAACCCCAAGTGCCCGGGGCAAAACATCAATCTGTTTCACGTGTCTCCTATTCATCACTTACACTCTCCAAGCATTCGTTTAGTACTGATCAATAAAGCAAGGTCATTTCAAAATACGAGCATTGTATCTGGAGTCTTACAAAGGTAGGACAGGTAACCTCCTTCCTCAGCCATCTGCAAAGGTGGCCTAACACACACACAGCAGAGTCTAAGAAAACACCCAAACAATACAGTAACTGACAGCCAGGATTCCGCCCGCCAGGATCTATGTGGAAGCTTTGCCGAAGGCAGATCCAGAGAAATCCATGTACCCAACTACCCCACAGATGTAAACATCTGCATTCAAGCGTTCACAGCAGGGTCCCGATGGCCACTCCCTCAGTCCCTGGGCCCATGGACCACGCATGGGATATTCATCTGTGAAACGGGAGGTGGGGTGACAACAGGACCCCCTCCCAGCTCACTGCCCGATCCCAAAACTGAGCGAGATAATTACAGTCTGTCAATGTCAGTATCGGCGTGGGCTTCCTTGTGCCCCGTTTACACAGGAGGAACCAGGAGCTTGGGGGTGGGGAGTGGTCACTACCGTTTTTCCCTCAGGTAGGAAATCAAAAGCCAAAAACGGGTTGGCGTCCCAGTTAGAGTGCTCCCAAGGCCCGCTTGCAGCACCAGCAATTACTTGCGAGGAAAAATGCAGAGCGCCCATCATGGTCTCCTCCGGCCCGAAGAGCCCACGATCCCCACGGTCCCCGCGACCCTCGCGGACGTGACCGCCAGCGCCGCCCGCGGCTCCTTCCCCGCTCCTGGGGATCCCAGGCCCCGGCCACTCCCGCCGCCTCCTGAGGGCAACCGGGGCCGGGGTTCCCGCGTTTCCTCCCAGCTCCCCAGGGTCCAGGGCCTCGCGTCTGCTCCACGACTCCCAGGCGCTCCTCCCAGCTCCCTGGGAGGAGAGCGTGTCCGGCTCCCGGCTCCCGGCTCCCACGGGCTGAGGACCGGGACCCCCAGGGACTCCGCCCAGCTGGTCAGGGGCTGAGGACGACGGATCCCAAGCCCCACGGCTCCTCCCGGCCCCCCGGGCGCAAAGGGCCCCGGCTCCCAGGCGCCCGGGGCTGGACAGGCCCTCAACGAGGGCTGCTAAAAGGCCCGGTTCTCCTCGCACGCGCCAAGTCCGGGCGCGGCCGGAAAAAGGGCCGGTTCCCATCGGCGATCGTCCCCGGCCTCCCGCACCGGGGGCTCCGGCGGCCCGTGGGCAGGGAGGAAAGCCGGCAGGGGAGGTTGGCGAGGAAGGGACGGGTGCAGGCCAGACCTTCCCTGGCCCGGCCCGGCCGAGCCTCCCGCTGCCCGCCTGAGGCGCTCACCTTCTCCGAGAGGCGTCCGGGCCTGCGCCTTGGGCCTGGGCCTGCTGCTCCCGTGGCTCGGCTTCCCTCTCCAGGCTCCCGGGCGCGGCGGGCGGCGGTTCCTCCCGCTCCTCCTCCTCCTCCTCCTCCTCCCCGGCCTCAGGGCCACCAGGCGTGGTCTCGCCGGCCCCGCACCGCCTCCCGGCCGGAAACATCCCCGCCGCTCCGCCCCCGCGCCCCGGCTCGCGCGCCCCGCGCTCCGGAAGCGCATTCCTGTGGGCCGCGCCCGCTGCGCTTCGGGAGGCGCTCAGACAAAGGGCCCCGCGGAGCGGCCGAGGAGGCCCACGCCACGCGCGCCCGGCCTCGCCACGCGCGCCCCCTCTGTGCCGGCCCCGCCAGGCCCGTCTCCTGCCGGCTCTTCCCTGTACCCTGCAAGGCTAGGCCTCCCGGGGCCGGAGACGGTGTGGTGGCCGCCGGTCTGATCAAGTGGGGGAGAAAAACGGAGGCCCCCCCGCTTTGGGGACGGGGGGCGTTGCGCGTGGTCTCCATCACGGGAAGGGAGGATCGCTGGAGCCCGCTGAGGAGCGAGTTCCGAGGTCCCACGAATGGTGACCGCTAGGGACGGGAGAACCCTGTGAGGCGCTGCTGTGCACTCTACCCCCGTGAACTTGAAGGTGGTAGTTAATTCAGCAGCGCTTTGCCTGACCCAAAATTCTCTTCCCGAGGTGGGATTTGGACCGGAGCTCCTCTTGCAGAACTTTATAAAAGTTCTTCATGGACATCTTTCCGGGGACCACTGTCAAGCCCCTCCTACCCACCAGACACACACACACACACACACACACACACACACACACACACACACGTTCGCACACAAAGACAGGTACTGGGATATTGGATAAATTAACCAAACCTTGCTGGCTCCAGTAGGACCAGGGAGGAACTCTGAGCGAGCAAATGGGAGGATTCCTGAGCTCTAAGGGCAGGAGAAAGGGAGAAAAAGCAGATTGTTCAGTAGTGCATCCGGTCATGCAATTATGAATGGGTGGCCCACGCACTCCCAAGCCAGTTCCCTACCCGTGCTACTTAGGCAGAGTGCCAGCCACATTGCGGTGTAGCCCCGAGGCCAGGTGAAGCACTGCCTCCCCACACCATCTCACAGTTAATATCCCAATCCGCTCCGCAGTAAGCCGACGTACTCCCTGTAGTCCCCACACCCCGCGATTCTCCAGAGGCGGTTTTCGGCGTGGCTTGTCCACAAAGGCACCATCCAAGGCCTGGACAGCGTGGGGTAAGAAGGCCTGGGACTCTGTGAGAGCTTAGGATGGAGGAGGGGTACCCGCATTGACAGACTCGGCAAGTGACAAGACAGAAAAAGGCTTTTCCTGGGTTTGGTACTGGACTGACACCATCCATATCAGATCATTTTTAAATTTTATTATTTGTGTTTCATTTACTGAAAGGCATTGAGACAGATATGAGCTTCCATCTTCTGGTTCACCCTCCACAATGCTGCAACAGGCGAGACCCATCCAGGCCTGCTGAGGTCTTGGCCACACCTTCAGGTGGGCGGCACCAGCACTGCCCACCCATTTCCTAATTAATTAGGAGACCACCAATGGGGAACATCTTACCTGTAGGTTCCCCCCCCCACCCCCCAGAGTGCTTGCTAGCAGGAAGCTGGGTTCAGAAACAGACCTGAGCATGGGACAGAGCCCCTTGAGACATGCTTGTAGGCAAACCAAACAGAGGCCTCCCCCATGGTCTTTTTTAAATTTGTTTTTATTTTTCATGATATAGCCTCAGAAATTTCCCCTTCCCATCCTCCCCACATCCCCTCCCTCCCCACCCCCTCCTTTTCCTCTATGTTATTACTATAGTACGGTCCCTTCACCGACAGTCACAAGTCCACCAAGATGACTTTTAATAAGCAAAATGACATTGCGCCCTGGTATGCCAAGACACCCCAGTTTGTAGTTTGCTGAAGCAGAATTATAGAAGGTGTGTGTGGGCCACCGAGTCCTCTGCAGTGCAGCTGTCCCGTACATGACTCGGTTAAGGAGGAGAAAAGTCCTGAAGTAACCAGGCTCATCCGCAGGATTGAGGTTTAAATCTCATTGTCCATGGGGCAGACTGAGTGAGCGCAGCCAGGTGAGGCCTCAGCTGTCGAGACCTGTGCACGAACTTTGCACGGAGTGACCTGGATGTCTTTGTCCTCACCTCATGTCACCTCCTGCCACTTAGACTGTGTCCTAGCTGTGAAGGGAGAAGGGCTGGTGATCCGGGGTCTCGGCATCAGGAGTAATCCCATTCCTTTGCAAGGACTCTCCAACACGCTCCTTTTCCAATGTGGGTCTGTATGCCTTGGTGCCAGACAGAGCAGCCCTGGGAAGCCCTGACACTTTGAAAAACAAGAAGGGGTGACACAGCCCATCCAGTGCCTCCCTTTTTCTGCCTGCAAATATATAAATAAGGTGCATGTACTCGATGAATACAGGGAAACTAAAAGGTTCTTTTGTTTGCTCCGTTTTGACCTTCAGGCCTGGGAGAACACTCAGCATACAGCTGCATCTGTTGGAGGAAGCAGGCAAGGTGCACCCAGCAGCACACAGCCCCTATCCTAGGGCGAGTGCTGAGACCTAGCAAGCGGTGGCTGAGCTGCCCTGAGGCTTCAGTCCGCCTGCACCATCTCCTTGTTTATTTAAAAGTGAGGTGGCAAAGGGCCTGACAGTCTGGCCTGATTGGTATTGTGTCCCTTCTGGCAGAGGCTGTCCGTTAGCTCGCTGGGTCCTTTTCTGGGAAGTGAACACAGGTCAGGTATGAGTAAGGCTGCCCCAACCGGCTCTGCCTCCTGTTTTCCATATATAGCGTTCCTGGTCTTCCCGCAGGCCTGAGAGCACCTCCCCCGGGTGTGGCGTGTTTTCCTGCCAGCCCTCAGAGGTTGCACATTCTTCATAGCCCTGGGGGCAGGGAAGAGAGTCGTTAGGCAGCTCTTTGCAAACCCTGAACTACTGCAGCTGTGCCTTTCCCAAATAGGAATGAGGGACCCACCAGATGGGACGGACTGAATAGCAGGGGCGATATTTTTAGGCACAAGGGTCATTGAGCAGAGGAAATGACTGAGCTGCCCACGGGTTTACGGCCTGGGACTGTACAACAACATCTCTTTCCTAAGTCCTTCCGAGCCTGCTGACACTGAGCCTGTGCCACTCTGCCTTCGGAGCAAACTGAAGAACAAAGGCGTGTGTGGTGAGCCACACCAAGGCCACCACCCTGAAGGCCGGCAGCCCGTGTTAGGCAAGATAAGGTTCTCTGAGTCCACAGATGGGGTACCAGGACACGTTCGCCAAACTACACATATCAGACAGACTTCCTGGCATCTTTGTTCAGAGGCGTGCATCGCTGCTTAGGATCAGTCCCTGTGATGGGAAAACTGCCTTAAAACAACTTGGTTGTAAAGCTGGGGTTCTGACTGGCGCACCTGAAACAATCTTTTAGATCAGCAGATGACACCTGGAAGCATCGTTTTGTAAAAAGATGGTCACTGCAGAAGGTAGAAGCGAAGCAGCCTCACACAAGAGGCCTTTGTGATTATTTTTCAAAGTATCAAAAATTTCCAAAGATAACCTTTGTTCTTCAGATTTCCAATTTCTATGTTAGAACTTAGAGGCCATCACTAAAAATCACCCTAAATACCGGTATATAACCTAGGGGTTAAGACCGGTGCTCAACTCGAAGTACCTGGCTGTAGCTCCTGTCTTCAGCTTTCTGCCAGTGTAGACATCCAGAGGAAATTGAGATGCTTTGAGTAACTGGGACTTGAGTTGTCAAATTATTGCAGGCATTTAAGAAAGGAACTAACAAACGGAATCTCTCTCTTCTCTCCCTGTCTCTCTCGAAGAATCTCCCTCTCCCTCGATCCCCCTCCAACACATTTTAAAATAAAATCCACCCAGGCTAAGAACTCGCGCAACCTTTCTCAGTGAGATTGAGAACAAGACCACAGAAATTTTGTGTTTCCCAACAATATTCTCGGGCAGCCTTTGTAAGGCGTCTTGGTGACACGGGGGCACTGAGGTCCCTGCATTGCTACAGGCTGACGTCAGAGTTTTCCCCTCTGGCCACAAGAATTCCTGCTTGAGAGCAGCCCACAGCTGCCAGCTGGGTGCAGTTTTTAAGTTGAAAGAATTTTGCATGGCGTTACCGTACTAGAATCAAATCATCCCAATCTGAAAAGATTAGACCATCTTACTCTTTGATGCTGTTTTATGCCTTATCTTGCCTTCATTTAACAGGGGATATGGAAATCCTCAGCCAGGAGTCTCCTTGTATGCTAAGAAATCTTTCAGTGTCCATAGCTGCCCAACAGCCTGCATAAGCCTAAAATACAAAGTAAACTGGTTTTCTTCTCAGACTGGCTAAGACGAAAAAAAAAAAAAAAAGCACTTTAAGCAAGATTTCATCAGTAAATGATACTGACATGTGATACTGAGTTCAGAAAATAGAGGGAAACTGAATTCTAAGGTTTAAGAAATTTATCCTGGGACCTGGTTCAATTGGCTACTCCTCCCCTTCAAGTGCTGAGAGCCCATATGGGTGCCAGTTCATGTCCTGGCTGCTCCACTTCCATACCAGCTCCCTGCCTGTTGCCTGGGAAAGCAGCAGAGGATGGCCCACTGCCTTGGGACCCTGCACACCCACAGGGGAGACTCTGAAGAGGTTTCTGCCTCCTGGCTTCGGATCAGCTCAGCTCTGGCCATTGAGGCCATTTGAGGTGGACGGGTCATCTGGGGGAGTGAACTTGTGAATAGAAGACCACTCTCTGCTTCTCCCTCTCTCTCTGTAACTCTAAATTTCTTTCTTCCTTCCTTCCATTCCTCCCTCCTTCCCTTCTCCCTTCCTTGCTTCCTATTGAAAAGTCAGATATGCAGGGAGGAAAAGAGACACAGAGGCAGATCTTCTGTTCACTGATTCACTCCCCAAGAGCCCCCCAACAGCCAGAGCTGAGCCAAAATCCAAAGCCAGAAGCTTATTCCGGGTCTTCCACACGGGTGCAGGGTCCCTAGGCTTTGGGCCGTCCTCAGTTGCCTTCCCAGGCCTCAAACAGGGAGCTGGATGGCA